CGATTTTTCCTGCATTCTTCCCTCCCACATTTTCCTCTCTGCCTCTTTCACTCCCTTTTTCACTGAAGTAGTCTGCTCAGCCCCATCATTAGTGAGTAGGTATTTAAATGTAAGCTTTCGGTTTCGGTTTGTCCATTTTGTGTTTATGCTCTTCATGTATAAATACTTGTACACCTTACGTGCCCATCTCGTATCATCCATTTCAGTCAACCTTTGTTCAAATTTCAACTTACTGATTGCTTCCCTGCTCTCAAAAGACGACCAGCCCATGTCCCCCTGCACTCCCTCATTTGGTGTGTTTCCATGTGCTCCCAGTGCCAATCTGCCTACGCTTCTTTGCCGAATTTCTAATCCTGATTGAACCTCTGATTTCATGCAGAGCACCCCATTGCCAAAAGACAGTCCAGGTACCATCACTCCTTTCCATATACCCCTGACCACTTCATATCTGTTATAGTTCCATAGTGCCTTGAGCTTCATAATAGATGAATTTCTTTTCCCTTTTCTAATTATATTCTCCTCATGTTCTTCTAGATATTTCTTTCCCTCATTGAACCAGACTCCCAGATATTTGTATTTTTCTACATGGTCTATTAAAATGTCTTGTATCCGCAGGGGTCCCCTTTTCATCATTAAACACCATTACTCCAGATTTGTCGCTACTAAAGCTCATGCCCAAGATGTCCCCTTCCTCTCCACACATGCCGGCTAGTTCCTGTAACATATCCTGGTTGTCTGCCATAAGTAATATGTCGTCCGCATACATCAGTCCTGGTACTACCTGTCTTACCTTTCTCCCTCCTTCCATATAACTCACATCAAAACCTAAGTTGCTCTGCTCTAATTTCTTTTCCATTTCCCTGAGATATATCATGAAGAGCAGAGGCGACAGTGGACAACCCTGCCGGAGCCCTCTTTTTATTGCTGCGGGTTGTGTAATTTCTGCTTCCCATGTTATAACTACCTTATTGTCTGTGTACACCTGCTGCAGAAACCTAACCAAATTTGCATCCAAATTATACCCTTTCAGCCGACCCCAAAGTATTTCCTGGCTCACATTATCGTATGCTCCCTTGATGTCCAAATAAGCTAACCACAACGGAGTTTGGTTCTTGATTGCTATTTCTATACATTGAGTGGTGACGAATAAGTTATCTTCCAGTCTTCTATCTCTTCGGAATCCATTTTGAAGCTCACCCAGTATTTGCGTATCTTCTGCCCATTCCTGCATTTTCTGCTTTACAATCTGCATAGCTAATCTGTAAAGAACTGAGGTTACCGTTATCGGGCGATATGACTTAATGCTGTCTTTGTTTCCTTTGCCTTTATATATTAGTCTCATTCTACTTAGTTTCCAGTCATTGGGTACTTCTCCTTTCATAATTGCTTGATTAATCACCTGCCGTAACTTCAATTTGCTTGTTTTTCCTAGTGTCTTTATGAGTTCCATGGGTATGTTGTCGGGGCCTGTTGCTGTACCTGCTGGAACCTTACTTTCTGCCTTATCCCATTCTCTTGTGTTTGTCTCCATTGTTATACAATTCTGCTCCTCCTCTACAGTGCTGCTGACAGTGCTATCCACCGTCCCCCTCTGCTCAAGCTGGGAGAAAGCCTTTTCGATTGTCTGTCTAATATATACCTGTGCCTCTTCCCCCTGCACTCTTCTCCCCTCCTGTGTGGTCAGCGAGTGTTGGAAATCCTCTGTTTTTCTCCCCTGTGCTTTAATGTGCTCCCAAAACCTTTTTGCCGCATTCTTATCTTTTTTATTTATTTCCATCATCCACTGCACTCCTGCCCTCCCAATTTTGGCCTGTATTAAAGCTGATGCCTCCCTTTTCCGCTCTTGGAATCTCTCCCATTTTGATGTTACCTCAGCTGGCAGAGCTCCCCTTTTTTTTGCCCACCTATGCTCCCTAGATGCCTCTTGGCGCCGCAATATGGCTGCTTTAACCTCCTTATCCCACCAGCTTTTTGGTTTGTGTCTTTGGTTTTGCTTTCCTCTTTGTTTAATTCAATGCTTCTCTAATTCTCTCTTAAAGATTCCTATTAAATCCTCATATGTCCACTCTTTCTACGTCCTCAATACTTTTAGATACTTTTTGAATTTGTGCTTCACTTAGTTTTTGTTTACCCGCTCGTTCCTGGGCTTGTTCAGGTTCAGATGTACCGAATTTAATCTTAATTCTTTTGTGGTCACTCCCTAAGCTTTTTGTACCTTCCTCATCTATTTCCATACTTCCTAGCCTGTCATACAGTTTGTGGGACATGAGGCAATAGTCTATCGTTGAGTGTGAGTTGTTTCGTTCCCACGTTATTTTCCCTTCGCATTTTACTTGTGCATTAACTAACACTAGGTCCAGGGCATCACAGAAATCTTCTAACATTTTTCCGGTTGTATCTGTGAATCCATCAAACTCTTCTATGTGGGCATTCATGTCTCCCATGATAATTATTTCCTGATTAAGGCCAATTTCCCTAATGTCCTTCGAAATACGTGCAAAGTGTTGTGAATTTTCCTCCCTTGAGTCACTTCCTGTTTTTAAGTATGCAAACCCCAGAAGAGTGTTCAGACCTGTTACCCTACCCTTCAGCCATAAATGTTCCCTGCAGTCTTCTCTCTCCCTTTCCCAGTCCTGTCCTTTTACCAACGCTCCTAGGCCTCCGCCTTTCCTTTCCCCTGCCCTCCGGTTGCAACTCACCCAAGAATAACCTGGTATGTGGGGCGGTTCCTCCTCATCCCTAAGATGTGTTTCTGCGACACCTTAGACTGTCGAAATTTCTGTCCCTAATTGTTCCCCGATCTCTTCCCATTTTAGCCTGTTTCTACACCCCTGCATGTTGATAAAGCTTATATTTAGCTGTTTTCTTTTCTTTTTCCTACGAGGCTTCCTCCTGCCCCCCCCCCTCCCACCCCCCTTACCAAAGTTTTGCCCGAGTTCTCATCTACCTTCGGGCCCTCGGTGGGTCCAAAAAAACCCTTGCCCTGTCTCCCATCTTAGCCCCGATACGCCACCCCGTGTGCTGTCCATAGTGTATCCCATCTTTTTCGAATCGGGGTGATGGCCCTCTTTGGTACACTCCCTTGTTCACCTCCAGCACCTCATAGCCCAGCTTCTCTCCCTGTTGCCTGATAGTTCGGTTGGCTGCTACAACATTTTTCTCGGTTGCTACCGACTGTTTCTCCACCTCCGGGATCGTGCACATTAAGATGTGCACCCGCTCAGAGACAGCCCTAAGCTTCCTCACCCCAGCCTCTATCTGCCTTCCCAAGTTGTGGCCCCTCCCATTGAGGACATCGTTTAGTCCAGCGTGTACGATCACCAGGTTTTTCCCCTGCTCATTTTCCCACACTATGTCCTTTGCGCTCTCCATCACTTCGCTCATGCACTTTCCAGGGTGGGCTAACACCTTCACCCTATCGTCTCCACTCACCCTGCTCGCTGCCCCTGTGGCACACCTGGAGACATTAGAGCTACCAATAACTAGTACTCTCCGAGTCCCTGCCCCTGCATGCTGCTGCTCCCCTGATTTCCCACGCCTTTGGGTGCGGACGCATTGACTTGCACACGCAACCCCGATCTGGGTGCGGGAATGGGGGGCTCTGTGCCCTTGTTTTCTTCTACTGTGGGGTTCATCCCAGTTGTCCCCTGTACGTTATTCTCCACCTTCCTTTTCAGTTCTTCAAATTCGATCTGTGCCACCTCTCTTTGTTCTGCCTCGCTTCTCTATCTCCCCTCCATTTCCTCCAGTCTCGCCTTCAGGACTACAAGCTCTATAAGCTGCACTTCAAGCTTCCCACGTTCCTCCCGCTCTATTTCCAGTTCCTTCTGCATCTCTTCCAGCCTCACTTCGGCTATCCTTCCTCCCTCCCCGGTTTCCTCTGCCTCCCTTTTCTCCACTGCTTTCCTCATGGCCTCCGCCATCTCCTCTAGCCGCGTGTTTAGAGTCGCGGTCTCTCTCGCCTCTCTTTCCAGCCTCTCTCTCTCTTTCCGTTCGGCGTTGATTGAGCTCCTGCCTCATCTCCTGCAGCGCCTCAGTCAGCCCCTCGATTTTTACGCAGATCCGGCATAGGTATTCCCTATCCGTAGCCTCCTCGATCGAGCTGAAAGGGGTCTCCTCGAGGAAACACCACCTACCGCAGCCGCCACACTCGACGTTCGGCACTTCCGGGTCATCATTCCCTTCTTTCTTTCTTTCCTCGTTCGCCATGCCTCTGCGTCTCCCACGTCCGCGGGAACTTACCCGGCTACGTGACCACACGCGTAGACTAAATGACAGCAAACACTAAACTCATTCGTCGCTCTTCAGCGACGTGTCCCGCCAAAAATTCAAACGGCACCGTTCTAGCACCACGTGGCCCCGCTAAGCCAACTTCCCTGTCGCTACCGCCACATTTAGCCAAACTACCCCAACTAAACAATATCCCACACTCTGCGCTACTACCCCATACACAGTTGGATAACAGACTGCAAAGAGTGAAAATGAAAAATCAAAGGCTACTTAGCTACGCAGCAGATCCGTCGCGATGTCGCATCCGTCTTCCACCGAATTTAATCTTAATTCTTTTGTGGTCACTCCCTAAGCTTTTTGTACCTTCCTCATCTATTTCCATACTTCCTAGCCTGTCATACAGTTTGTGGGACATGAGGCAATAGTCTATCGTTGAGTGTACGCAGGCTCTCCTCCTCCCCCATTTCCGAGAGAGGAGGAGAGCCCGCGCACACTCAAGAGTCAAAATGGGAGATGGGACGCGGGCCTGTACCTTCCACTGCATTGCCAAGAAAAGTTGTCGCGAAGTATAAGCCAACTCGCTCTTTGCAATCAAGTGTGCATTTACTCGCACCCGGGGCGGGCACTGTGCAAGTGCAGAAACCAGATTCGCAAACTCCGGTAAAATTTAAAAAAAGGCGGGATGCAAGTGTCTTTATACTAGGTGGCGCAAGCTACTTCCCAATACTTGGCACGCTTGGCGTTAAGCATGGCGCGCTTTTTGCGGCATACATGATACATCACTACCTAAACATGGCGGGTGGTTTCTCCGCGAGCGTTGCTGGGGTTCTTCCTGGCCCGTTGTACGGTTCTAAACTAAGCGACGAAGCGACTATCTTTTTCATTTCTCTCGTCGAGCACTTGCCAGCGTTGTGGGACACAACCGTGAGCGAATATGCGAACAGTCTCCTAAAATGTACGCTGTGGCAGCAAGTTGCGGACAAGATGGAAGACCGGTTTCCAGAATGTGGACCGTACGTCCCCGGTACGTTTAACTACGATGAACTCCACGTCCAAGCATGCTCGAAAACGTTTCAAAAGCACTCGCGCCACGGTGTACTCTTCTTTTTTAAAACCCTTCACCCTCTGATCTTTTCCCGTCGAGCGTGAGCTTTCTGCCTTCGATATTGCTCCGGCGTTTCGTGAACTTCGAACTGCACGCGCAGCCAATGCACGGAGGAAAGCAACGAGCGCGTTCTGTAGGCCGGGACGCCGGGAGTCGATAAGAGACGCCCTGTCGTTCTCATTCTATCGGGGACTTTACGCATCGTGCAGGTTCGTCTGCTCTTTGCGCACCTCGTGCGTTTGTTTACCCTCCAAGTACGACCACGTGCTTTTGTTTTCCCCCAGATATGGGTCAGTGACAGCACTCACGTGGCTACCCCGTCAATGCTGAAGAGGGGGCACAGCCTTTGATCGGCGTGCCCCTCCTCGTGTTCCATGCGCCATAGACACGTGCAGCATTCTTGATTGCTTAAACTAGTGGTTCTCAACCATTAATGTTTCGCGGACCCCTTGTGGATCGATGGAGATGATTGAAGACTCCGTTCGTGGTGAAGGGAAGGGAAAGGTTGCGGTTACTTATGATAATGGTTTGATGAACGGATATAATTATGGACTAGCTGCGTGAAGTAGACTTTTCTGATTGACAAACACTCGAGTAAACGCATCCGAAAATTAAAACGTTTTTCTCAATTCGAAAAAAAAAAAAAAAAAAAAACTTTTGTTATCGGGTTTGACTGATGAGGCAGGGCTTCACGAACCCCGTGTCCCGCGAGAAATTCCAAAATCATCAAAATGTCCCGCATCTCACACTGTCGTAAAATTCACTCCCAAACTTATGGTGCTACCGAACGTGAATCGCAATGATATGCCATTTTCTAGCCAAGCATTGCAGGAAGCGACCTTTGTTCTTGCAGGAGATTCGACGCGCATGCACTGTTGTGCCTCTCCCTTTGGTGGCAAAATATCGTAAGAAAAATTGCTTGCCAAAAGTTTAAATATAAAATATTGTAATAATTTTCAAATTGCTGTGTCAATGCGAAAGGGTTTCTGTGGATTTTTTTTTTTTTTTTCTAGTGAAGGCAGCCACATTTGTAATGTTCGAAAAAGAACATAATGTTAAAACATTGTGTATGAACATGTTGATATAAGTAAGCTTTGGCAGGAGACAACAACCCGAAAAAGATTTCCTGTTGTTTATATTTCATGCATTGAGTTCTGGTATCGTCGATTTGTATGTTTTCAACTTCAACACATTTAATAACATGTTTGGCATTAAAACAAATATATAACTGGGGGTAGAAATTATTTTAGCTTAACTGCTGCAATACAGTTAGCAGGTGTATAAATAGTGCAGGATAATAAATGTGTTAACAGAGCCCAGGTCCGTTGTGTGCGTTTTAATATATTTCCTCTGACGCCCCCCCCCCCCCCCTTGTCCCGCGTGTCCCGCATTTCGTTAAAAGGAAGGTGGTCACCCTAAGGGAGACTCGAGTTTTGCTTCAAGGTGGCCCAGTTTCCAACAGTATCTCTGCATAGAAGGCATGAAAGCAAGCACTGCTTTGACTGTGCTTTCTGCCAGTTTTCAAATAGGAAGCTGTTCCTAGCAAGCCTCGTTGGTTCCCAATTTGAACTCGTGTTACAGGGATCTATACTTGTGCACGGAGCATTTAACGGTGTTGAACTCTGCTACGTATGTTAACCTTATACGACCTAGATGACATATAGTGCAGGAGAGAAAAAAAAAACAACCTCGCTTAGACTGATTTTGACTTGCGATTTTTAAGGAATTTTATATCTAAGTGAACGTCATCTCGTGCATCCTTTAGTGAAGCGTAATTTGTGTTACAGATGCACTCAGGCTGTTCTTCACTAACAAGAGGAGAACATACCGTACAGAGAAGAAAAAACTGGGGGCACCAAAAAACGGCCAGGCTTCCGGCGAGTGCTACAGAGGCAGATGGAAGTTTTTCCATTGCCTGACTTTCCTGGATGCTGCCAAGCCAGTAGGAGCAAGGACCTACAGCGAGGCATTCGAGGCAGCAGAGCCAGAGGCGGTGGAGTCGGAGGCGGTAAAGTTTAGAGCTACCTTACTTGGCATTCCGGGGGCCATTGCGGAACACTGCTATTCATTGCGTTGATTTCTGTTTTGAGTGACTAGACCCGTTATGGCTGCACTACTATGGCGACGTCTGGAACATTCAAGCAAGATGTGTGCAGTATAGGCCTGCTCCATTGCCCAGGGGGCGCTGCAAAAAGGGACTCGTTAGGACATGTTTTGGGTATTACAAACTTGAGCGTCTCGTACTGTCACACTGCAGAAGCATGCCTGCTCTGGTGCGGAACACGAGATCACGAGGAAAATACAAAGAAACCACAAAAATTTGAACGCCGTCGAAGCACAGGTCAAAGCAGGGTGTCTAGCGACCAGGAGAACCGGGGATTGTCGGAGAAATTTGAATTACCAGGAAAAATCAGGGAATTGTCAGGGATATTGTCAAAAAGCGAGCCCATTTAGAGAAAATAAGCCGGAAACGCCATCAAGTGCCCTGAGCAAAGACTTGAGGACTTAGGGGCAGAAAAATAGGCAATACATTCTGCTTAGAGCGGAGCGCAGGCTCTGCTCATTCGATGTAGAGTGTGCTACCCGGTGCAAAAGGAAAAGCCGACAAATCCAGTCCAAGCCTTGGATTGGATTGGATAGAGGGTGCGACACTGGGCTAGATTCAGTTAGAGCTATTAGATTTAGTAACAAATGGGAAAGCCGCAGACCCCCAATCCAATCCAAGCGTTAAGCGAAAGTATCCAAAAGCGTGCATCTGGCGGCCATCCTGCCATTCGGTGATTGATGTGTGTGGTTGAGCTTCGTGTTTTCATCGTTTCCGGAAGTGGCCTTATGTATATATTTAGCCCCCTCTACAGTGGTCGAGGAATTTCGCCTGAAAATGTCAGGGAAAACCTGGAAAAGTCAGGGTATTTCAAAATAATAATTTGCTAGACACCCTGTCAAAGCTAAGATGCTAAGAGCGTGAGCAAAGATACGCCATTTCTCTGAAGTAGAAACGGAAAGAAATTGTTGTGACACAGATGTTGTGATGTCACCGCCCAGAGATAAAAGACTCACACCCTAGTGGTGGTGGCAGGAATCTGGCACTTTCGATTGTCTTGCGGCGTTGAGTCTAGCCTGTCTCGGATGTCCAAAGGTGTTTTACCGCTTTCAGCACCACATAAAAAAAAAAGCTCGGTCAACGTGCCATAAGCAGTGCGAGGCTCAATCGGGTGAGCTTGTACTACCCAACATGAGAGAGCCACAGTTTGTTCAAAGCTTTAGGGCAGAATGCCTATAGATGCAAGTAATTTTTTGCATTCAAGTTTTGACAGCGGGAAGTTGGACTGGGGCTAGGGGTGTCTATGTTTCCCCTGTAGATAATAAAGTTACCTTACGCAGTACAGCCACCATCTTTATTAATTATTTTCATGTTTACAAGCACTCATGCTTGTTAAAGGCACTCGTACACGTGTAGACACTTTATATACTGTTGTTGTGAATAACGATGCGCATGTTTGCACACACAGAACAAGTACACAAACCTGGGGATGCAAGCAGCAGGGTGTCTAGCGACAAGGAAAACCGGGAATTGTCAGCGAAATTTTAATTGCCGGGGAAAATCGGGGAAGAGACCCTTTCCAGAATTCGGTCTGGCCACTTTGACCACTATCATCATCTGAAAAATGGCATATGTGCTATACTAATAGTGGCCTTCTGTTTACTGATGAAGTTGAAGATGCTTCTGAGCAGACGATTTGAGGCCTATACATTCTTGACGTTAGCGCGATGTGAATCAGGAATTGGATGCAAGAGCTGTGTAAGCGTTCATTTTTAACTTGGGCCGAGTCAATCTGTTAGTAGTACACACTCGGGCTTCGAAGCCCCTTGATGTATAGAATTTTATCAAGGCATCTATCTGGGCTGGCGCTTCGTTCTAACTGGTTGCATCTTTTTCACCATCAACACTGAAAGAGATTGAAAAAGAACTGTGCAATGAAGCACACATTCTCGTTTAAGGTTGACTTGTGAAAATGACACTACCCATAAAATACTGCAGACCACAGGTTCATTGCTGCCATTAGTACAATAAAAGTTAAACTACCATTTGAGTCACCAGATGGCACTGAATTCCGGAAAGGTTCTCTTGTCAGGGAGATTGTCAAAAGGTGGGCCCAGTCAGGGAAAATGAGCCGGAAATGCCATTGAGTGCCCTGAGCAAAGACTTGAGGACTTGGGGGCAGAAAAATAGGCAATAAATTCTGCTTGGAACAAAGCACAGGCTCTGCTCACCCGATGTAGAGTGTGCTACCCGATGCAAAGGGAACGGCAGGCAAATCCAGTCCGAGCCTTGGATTGGATTGAGGGTGCGACACTAGGCAAGATCCAGTTAGAGCTACTAGATTTAGTTACAAATGGAAAAGCCGCAGACCCCAATCCAAGCCTTAAGCCGAAAGTATCTGAAAGTGTGCATCTGGTGGCCATGCTGCCATTAGGTTATTGACGTGCGTGTTTGATTGTCCTGTTTTCATTGTGTTTCCGGAAGTGGCCTCTTCACTGATGATATCGGCGACAAGAAAGTACTCGTTCAATTCGGACTGGACAAACCCAAATATTTTGGAATATGCAATAATAATAATTGGGTTTGTGGCGATATTTCGACAGCGTGTAGTTGGTCAGCGATTTCAAAGTTGCGACGGTCACTTGCTGTAGATGAGAAATATAGCCAGTGTGGTACAATAGACTACTTCCATAAACCCCTGCATGCAACACGGCACGCATTGTACTCTGGGAACTAGTTGGCCAGGGAGGAGAGTGGCATATGGTTTCGGTTTCGATCGACACGTACGCCGGACGGGCGTGAACTATGCGGTGCGCCAAACGAACAAAATTATTCAGTGCTTATTTGACTTTTGCTAATGGCCATAATATTTGTTATGTGTTTGCTTTCTTCCTGACTGAGTATGCCGAGATAATTTCGAACACACCGTTCAGACACGGATCTTGGGCGTCAGTAAAAGCTTGTACAAAAAGGCTTAGCGAGGAGTAGGGGACGCTTGTTAGAGCTGCGTCGTAGCTAGCCGATCTCGGCGTTTGCGAAAACTTAATCTCCTATTAGTATAATATTTGAGTGGGAGATATATGATAACACGAGGAAGACATAGCAATAAATTTTGTGCAGTAGTGAGGTCGAATTTATTGCGTTTCCTTAACAGTTCATGCATCAACGCTGGTCTCAATTTTGGTACACCTGTGAGGATGCGGCTTGCTTTTTGCCCAGTGAAATAACAAGAAGCGGATGTTTGGAAACAAAATACGGTGTAAGGCTCAAGGTGACCAAGTTTCAGTTGAAGTTTACTGGTACTAGACGGGATTGTTGAAATTGAGCTCAAAGATACAAGCACTCGTGGGTGAGGTGACTGAGCCACGTCTTACGTTTGCATATGCACGCACAATTTCCGGTGTTTCGGGAACCAAGGAAAGTGCCCCAGTCTTCGTTTTGTATCGCTTGAAAATGAATGTATCGTACATTCGTGAAAAGTAAGATAATCGAAAACGCAAGCAGCGCATTCGGTCACGGCGTGCCAGCATAAAATGAAGCTGCTCGATCGAAACCGAAACCAAGTGGCCAACTAGTTCCCAAAGTGCATTACGTGGTAGTTTGCCGCGATGGGGCGCTTTGATTTTGCAAGAAGTCTATTGCTAGCCTGGGGTCTTTAATGTGCACCACGCAGTAGTGGTACACGACCACACTCTGGCACAATGCTCATCCAAATCGAAACGGACAGGAGTTGGGTTTGAACCCACGATCTCTGGGTTCTGCAGCGCAAGCTTTCACTTCACATGCTCCGAGCTGGTGTGTGCTAGCCCACTCGGCCACCGATCCCCCTTGGAATATGCAAATTGGATTGAACCCATGCAAAATGATCCTTACAGTGCTCAATGCCTTGTGTTGTAATGGTCGCATATATTTAACTGCCTCTACAGTGGTCAGGATATTTCACCTGAAATTGTCAAGGAAATCTGGAAAATTCAGGGAATTTCATAATAATAATTTGCTAGACACCCTGAAGCAGGAATGCCTAATACGAGGGACATTCAATAATTGTATCTACCTCGGAAGAGAAAAATAAGATTTAAAAATTATAATATATATATTTTTAGTTTTTTAATAGCTCTCTTCACTTCATTAATTTTTCCTGCAATGAGTTTGACTCTTCTGGAAAAAAAAACAAAAACAGTCTTCTGCGATACCTTAAAACCAGAATGTTTCAGCTGCCTGATGTCTTCATGACTTGAACACCGCTGTCCGCAGAGAGATTTTTTTTAAAACTTGAGACGGAAAATAATTTGAGGAAGCCAAGTCAGGACAGTAGGGTGATCGTTCAGCTACTGGAACCCACAGTCTCGAATGGCAGCCTGTGATTGACGTGACCTGGGAACTAATGTAATGTCGGGAAGAAAGAGCACCTCTCTAATGAGGTTTCCCCATATTTATCCTTGATTAACTCCCGCAAAGTGATCATTGTGTTGGCGGAATTCTCCCTTTCTATGGTTGTCTTGTGTGGCATGAACTTCATAAGTGAAAGTCCTTTAACGTCCCAGAAGACAATTGCCATGACCTTTCTTGCAGATTTTTTTCTTAAACCTTTTTGGATGACTTGTGCTTCCACCACATTGACTCTATTCTGGACGCTGGGTCTTTGTGATAGACCCAAGTCTCATCCCAAGCTACCTAACAGAGAAAACAGTTCACTTTGACCTCAAGGAGCGCCTCCAAGTTGTCCTGACAGCAGTGGGGCCCCGTGGCCTTCTGACATGGTGTCAGCATTCTTGGAATCCATCTTGCACTAACCTGTGACATGTCACACTTTTCATAAATTATTTTCCAAACTGGACCTTCTAAGGTCCCATCTTGTTGGCTATTCAGAGAACCTTGGTTTATCCGTCTGACAGAATTAAATCTTCGACTCTCTCGCACATTTCTGTAGAAGTTGTCTCCATAGGCAGTCCTGTGTAAAGGTAATCTTCAATGGGCTCTCTATCTCACTTAAACTGTTTGCTCCGAATATTTTTGCTTCATAGGACAACGGCCCAAACCTGCCATAAACCGAGTGAGAACGAAGCTGTGTGAAAAAACATGCAGTCATATGATTGTAAATCCCCTTTGGGTTTTTCTCTTCTTTTACTGGAATGTTTGCCAGTCAACATTGTCTCCAATCTAGCATTTTCTTACTTGATTTGCACGAGGACTCTTTTCTTAAATCCAGTTTCCTGGAACATTAGACTCGCACTAGGCTGCAACCGCACAGGATTAACCTTGGGACCGGGGCTTAAAGTCTGGGGGGGGTTCAAAGGGTCTCGTTCCCCCCACTGATTTTAAAGGATGCTCAGAGACCCTCCCCTCCACCATAGCCCCAGCATTAGTGAAATCAAAATCATATCTTGCAATAAAATAGCTTGTTTTCAGGGATGTGGCATTTGGGGGATTAGCAGTTTGAGGGTTGCATGCACAGCATGGGTAGAGTCAGCAGTAGGGTGTATTTTATATGCATCTAGTACATATCGTCAGAACCCCCCCCCCCCCCCCCCCTACTTTCTTGGAGGGACCCCCCTCAACTTACAGGAGTCTTTAAGCACTGCTTGAGACACTTCATAACATCCCTAAACTGGTTTCAACATGCTCGCTACTTTCTTTTATGCACAGGTGGATTAATTATTGAACGCCCCTTATACTGCGCTCAAGTATATTTGACTACACGGAGGGAATTTAAACTGTCATAAGGTATTCCACTCTCAAGTCTATGAAGAAAGTAAATATAAAACGCCCACTTTACCAGCCTAAGTGACAAAATGCAGTTAGATGTTGGTCAACTCGTGATTGAAATAATTCTGGTCTTATTGAGGCTTGTTTTCTCAGCCTTCCCTGCAACAGAGGGCAAGGAATCCTTCGCAATGTCCAGGCAGACTGGCGCAACCCCCTCAATTTGTGCACCAATAAAATTAATTTGTACGGAACTTTTAATTGCAGTCACCCGAGCAAAATGCCGAGCAAGAGGTTGACCAGGATGCCGAACAAGATGCTGGCATCGAGGAATCCCCACAGCCGTCCCCTGCGGCCGTAAGTACGGCCACCAGTAGTATCGGGCCAAGAAAAGTTGGGAGCTCACAGCCCTCGGCGGACGATTGGGCTGCGAGAACAACTGCCCTCGAAAAAATAGCAGATGCCGTTCAGCGGCTGTCTGAGACAGACGATGCTGCAACACATTTTTCAAAAGTTGTTGCAGCACTCCTACGGCCAATGAAACCAGTGAAACTGGTCAGGTGCCAAGCCGAGATACTTAACGTGATTGAAAAACACCTAAGCAAATAAAAGTTCCAGTTCAACTGTTCACTTCCTGTTCTTGGTTTGCGTTACTTTCTTAAGCCATGTACAGCATTTCCGTATGTTGACATAGGCCACAGCACCTTTGAGAAAACTGAATGTCTCCTCTTGCACTGCAGCACTGAACGTACCAGCACGTCCACGCAATGCAGGAAAACTGAAAAACGTTTGGCGACCACGGTATTTCTTGCTGGAATCTGTCTTCGATGCATGAGGGTGCAGCATGTTGTCGCTCGGAAAGTCTGTGGGGAATGACGCTCATCACTCTCAGCAAGCGCGTGAAATGGCTAGCCAAGATGCTGAATGCATTCTCTAGAATGTGCCCAACCCTGGACAACCTGGAGAGGAACAGGTAAGTGTTCAGTGAGTCGTCAGCCTTGAAAGCAGTCAACTCGAATATCCAGAAACCCAGAACTGTAAACTTGAGACGTGACTGCGCGTCTTTCAGATTGATGCCATGGGTCACGTGAAACTCGCAGGGCATGGGATTGGGTTTGACGGCTCGTTGTGTCCTCTGCAGTTCAGTGTAAGGTTAAGTAAAAACCACCAATCTCTATGATGACTTGCTGGATTGCACATAACCAGTTGGTCGCTGCAGTGCGAGTACGGCCACCGGATGGCCATCTTGCAACATAAAAACATACCTTTCTGAGCATTGCAGCGTGTTGGACATTTTCTGCTCGTTCGTCGTCATTCGCCGAAGAAGTTTGTTGAAAATGTGTAAATGGCAAGAATTTCCTTTAAAAACGTGAAAAATGTTATGAAAGCGCAGCACTTCAGGGAAAAGGTTTAACTTATCAAACGCAAGTCTTGCTGGTCTCTCGGCGTGATCGGAGCTTTCTTGGCACGCCGAACTGCTGCGTCTGTACCTTCGCATGTTTGGATACTTATCAAGAATCGACGTTGTGGCAGAAGTTTTGAAGGTGTGTCGGAGTGTAGATTTCTTCTGGACCGCCCAGCTCTTCCGGCAAGTTGCTATCAATAAAGGAAAACAAAAATCAGTGGTTGCTGTTGCGCACTACTAAAGTAGTCGTGAAATGCTTTTCCAACTTTTTCCTGTTTAGCTTTCCTCCTCAACTCATAAATTGCTCATTCTACCAAACAGTTCAAGAAGACAGAAAGGGGGGAGTCCCCTCTTGCCCGGACTCTCGTTTGTGTAACCGGACACAGCCATTCTCCCCCAAGAAGATTAGTCCATCGCTCAAAATTCGGACAAAGGCTGCTTTCCCCACCCGTTCACCCAGAAGCTGACAGTGCTGTGGAAGCTACGTGCTCCTTGGGCCAGCCACACTTTTGCCACGTGATCACATTCTCGCGCAGACAATGAGGTCAGGTGATAAAGGAAGGCAGCCGATTGGTCCGGCAAGTGCGTAGGTTCCACCACAATGTCGGCTTACGGGTGAAGGGAATAAGTGAGGTCCGGCGTCGTGTGACGTGCGTTTGGGGCCCGGTAACCGCTGCGGGCTCCGCGGATGTATCGCACTGAAAAGGCAAAGAGCTTACGAAGGGAAGGAAGTATGGAATAGTCCGCTGTGTTTTCAAATTTTCATACCAAAAGTCAGGCTTTTGACTTTCTACCTTTGTCCTTTTGGCCCACTGAACTATGTGCTACTACCGTAAATCCCGAGAGATGCCCCACCTTCAAAAGATAGCCCACCGCTATTTTTGGCTTGATTTACTAATTTTTTTAAACACTGAAAGCTAGCCCACTTTTAGTAATAGTTGGTAATAGTCAACGTAGTAGTAACCATGTTGAATTAACCTGAGACTGGGGTAGAGAAGAAACATCAAAACGTAGAAGGGACAGAAACGTAGTAGTGTTGGGATCAGTGATGGCCTCGGCATATACGTGGCTAGTTTGCTATGGTGGGATATAAGTAGGGTGTGTACTTTCCAGTGTTTATTTGTAAGAAAAATCGGCGGATGTTTTTCGGTGTTTATTTATTTTCAATACACCGGTGTATTTCGGTGGAACGTCTCACGACGAGGCTAAAATCGGTGAATATCGGGGAAAAAAGCGATTGATCACAGACAGAGAGTTCCAATTTCATTCACATAGTTCATACACTTCTTCTTTAGGAAGCAACTATTTCTAACACTTGGTTATTATAGTAGATGCAAGCATACTTTCATGCTCGCATCTACACGCAAGGAACGTGCTGCCGTCATGACAGCACGTTCCTTGCGGTTCGCAACCCGCAATTATGAAAACGCACGCTCCTGTACGACACGGACGTTGGCAGTCTCTTCCAGGAACCACAACAGCCTCTGAATACATGGCTTGCACCGACATCACTTGGCCAGACACAATGAGGAAAAGGCACGTGAGAGCCTACCCTCCACTGTGTTAATTTTTCCACAAAAGGGGGCCATGGGAGACACAATGGGGGAAAGGCGTATGAGAGCTTAGCTTCCACTGCGTTCACTAGACGCTTGTGACCCCCAGAAAGGGGGGCGGACTGACGCCACCTGCTGCAAGCCATGTATAAACACGGGAAGAATGCAGGATCCACGAGATAACACGTTTGACGAATTTCTACGGGGAAAGGGTTTCGCTAGGTCAGAAACTAGCAACGACCGGTGTTTTTCGGTTTTAACCAGGGCGAAAATATCCAACCACAGGTGTTTTTCGGTTTTAACCGATTTTATATTTTCGTCACCGACGGATGTTTATCGGTGTTTTTCGGTTAAAACCGGAAAATGCACACCCTAGATATAAGCGAACATTACTGACGTGGAAGTACAGTCATCTTTGCTTCGTTGCTCCTTGCCACCACAAAAAGCTTGGAAGGGACACAACCTAAAAACAATTTTTCTAAAACTTTTCTTGATTGTACACTGAAAGTTTGCCCACTCCATATTTTAAGCCGATTTGCTCTTGATGTTAGGTGGGCTCTCTCTCGGGATTTTACGGTAGTAAAATCCCCAAATAAATTGATTTATTCCAGCCCGAAATTTGTTTCATGGGCCCTTTAACCGTGAGCGAATGACGTTTTAGCGAGCAGCGACATTTGAGCGAATAGATGTTTTAGTGAACGGGGCCGCGCGTTAACCCATCCGCCGCGCTGCGCTTTCGCGGCGACAGTGTGCGGCGACTCATTACAAAAATGTGAACCCACTTGGCCCACCCGAAAACGCCGCTTCGCGGCGTCCGTCTATTTGCTAAAACGTCATTTGGTGAAACGTGGGCGTTTGCTAAAACGTCATTCGATCAAGTGAGTGCCTCCGCCCTTTAACCATGGCAATGTTCCAGATCTACTTGAATGGATCACATAGCAGCACAAATAGAGCAACGCTGTGGAGGAAGGTAGGTTTTCGAACGCAAAAGTATGAAATTGCGAGATCAAACTTTTTTTTGAAACGCAGCCCATATGGTCGTGTGCAATCTGTCGTTGCCGCTGTACCTCTTCCTTACTCCTGTCGCCACTGTATCAAGCTTGTTTCTGGACTGCGAGTGCCACAAGTTGCAATACAGTCGTCCGAGTAATAAAATGCTGCTTCGGAGGCCTTTATGCACCTTGCACTCGCGAAACAAATCCACACGGCGTCAATTCTTGATCAGTATTCAAGCGTGCGAAGGCAGAGACTCGGCACTTCGGCGTGCCAAGGAATAGAGTGCCTTCATACGCACGTGCACTTTTGCTTGAGTGGTGACATCTCAGCCATTTTAACGCCCAATCGTTTTCTTATTTATTTTGAAGTGCGCGCAATCCGGTGTCACTCAGCTCGAGCGCGTAGCTTTGGTTGATGCATAAGCGCCATTTTACCGCCCAAGTCACGCACCGAGTGCACGAGAGCGTCACGCGCTAGGACATTCAGGCCCTTCGAGCACACGTCCGCAAGTGCAACTATCCGTCCACAGAGGTCGAGGACAGGCTCGTTAGAGACCGCTTCGTCGTAGGACTTCTTGACTCGAGACTCTGACAAGCTCTGTCGCTGTCCAACCCTCACCATGGCCGAGGCCCGGCTACAAGCACGCATCCACAAAGACGCCGTCAAGGCGCGGGCGACCGTTTTTCTTGACGAGACAGCTGCCGTCGCACCTGAGCAGCTTAAGCTGGATGAAGCACGTTTGAGGAAAGGACAGAAACCGGCCCCCAAGACATCTCCCAAGCGAGACTCGGCGTCGTCCCCGAGAGAAGGCAGCAAGGACTGCAGCCGCTTCTCGGGACTCCTACACCCGATCGCCCCTGGCAACGTATCGGGGTTGACCTCTTTGAGCTGCAAGGACGCAACTACGTGGTCATGGTTGACTGCTATTCCCGTTTCCCCGAGGTGGTCAGTCTTGCGACCACAACATCAAGCTCTGTCATCGCGGCTATGAAGAGTTCCTTTGCCTGCTTTGGGATTCCGGAGAGTGTGGTATCGGATAACGGTCCGCAGTTTTCGTCAACGGAATTTGCCTCTTTCGCAGCCTTGTATGGGTTTGCCCACTGAGGTACCCACAAGCGAATGGCGAGGCAGAGCGCATGGTTCGAACACTGAAGGAGCTCTTCGTGAAGGCAGAGGATCCGCACATGGCGTTACTGGTGTACCGGGACACACCCGGAGTGACCGGCTACAGCCCTTCGGAGCTGCTCATGGGTCCTCGTCTCCGGACCAGGCTGCCAGGGTTACACGCATCGCTGATGCCAAAGTGGCCGTCGCCAAAGCTCGTCAAGAGCAGGGACCAGAGGGTGAGGGGACGTCAGTGCAAGGACTTCAACAGGCGTCACGCTGCCCAGTTACTGCGCCCTCTGGAAGCAGGGGAAGACGTGTGGGTACTGTTGTGTTTCTAAGACCATGGAGTACTCGCAGCCGTTACGAATAAACCTTTAGTACATATAGAACAACTATTTACAATCAAGGTGATTCCGGTATCGGCAGACGGCAGCGTTCGGCTGGCTCGCTGGCTCGCGTCAGTCGCTCGAGCTCGCTTCTTCCTCGTCGTTCCGTGTGTCCACTTCGGGACACAACACTCCCTCAGACTAATCACAGTCCGTACCGAGACACCGGCTTGCGTGCTCTCGAGGGGTATC